ATCCTTCACCCTCAGAAGCGGAAACACTCACCCCCTTTCCCCAATTCTCCCCAGTCCCCAAACTCCTATCAGTAAGGACAAGAATTCTGGTAATAAAAAGGGGGTGAGAGGGGGAAAAAAGAGGGGATGTCAGAATTCCACAGCAGAAGGGAAACCTGGGAGCACAGTGGACTTGCTCTTCCCTAGTCCCAAGGAAACAGGGGCCTGAGCATCCCTTTCCCAGGCCCCAGGCCCTCTCCTTGACCTTTCTCTCCCCTCTTAGGGAAACTTCCTTTTTTGTTGGACTAGGGGGCAGACACACAAAACAGGGTGGCCTTTGGTTTAGTAACCCAGGAAGGGTAAGAGAAGGGGGGTTATGGGCTTCCCTGGTGGCGCAGTGGTTGAGAGTCCGCCTGCCGATGCAGGGGACGTGGGTTTGTGCCCCGATCTGGGAGGATCCCACATGCCGAGGAGCGGCTGGGCCCGTGGGCCATGGCCGCTGGGCCTGCGCGTCTGGAGCCTGTGCTCCGCAGCGGGAGAGGCCACAGTGGTGAGAGGCCCGCGTACCACCAAAAAAAAAAAAGAGAAGGGGGGATTAGGTCCTCTCCCCTGAGGCATCCTCTCAGGACCCTGCCTGTCACCTTACTACCCGGGCCCACCTCTCACCTGCTCTGTTCCCAAGCAGGAGGGAGAGGTCGGTCGTTTCTAACACTACCCCACAGCTGTCCCGGGTCAGGGACCTCACCCACGGGAACTTTCTAAGTCTCGCCTCTGAGGAGTTCAGGTCCCAGCTCTCCCTCCAGGCCCCAAGTACTTCCTGGGAAGGGGCTCATTCTACAGAAAGAAGAGGGGAGTTTGGAGGGTGTAGGACTAGAGATGAAGGAGCAGAATCTGGGGCAGGAGGGTGGGAGTCCCAAAGACTGAAGAACTGGGCCCCAGACCTGAAGACGAAACGCGTGTGTGAGGTGTCTGGGCTAATTCACCTCTGAAGCCTCCCCTTTCCACCCCATCCCCCTAGAGAAGAGCCAGATGGGGGAGGAGAACAAAAATCTCTTCCATTCTTCTTTCCCCAGCTCCCTGACCCTCCCCTCGCTCCATCTCTATGGAGGGGGGTGAGTTAAAAGCCCATGAATGTGCAGAGCCCCCAAACCATTTTGAATCTCCTCACAGGATGTGAACAGGGTGGGATTTGGCCCCAGTTGCCAAGGCAACTGCGGTGGGAGTTCCCAGACGCTAGGCAACCCTCCTGTGACCCCCGCTGACCTGTCACCCCCGCAACCAGAAGACAATAGGAGTGCAGGCTCCGGAGGCCCAGGACGCCTTTCAGCTCAGCCGGCAGAGCCAGCAGCCCTGCCCGCCCCCACTGTCTGGCCCAGTCCTCCTGGCCCCAAGTCCAGCGAGCATCCAGCCTGGTCCCCAAAACCTCCCCAGGCCCTCCACCTCACCTCCCCAGAGCTGGCACACACTTCTCCCAGCCCTGGCTGCCCCCCATCAGGGATATTTGTGGAGTCTATGGGGAAAGCCCTACACACTGGGAACATTTTCATACAGGTGAAATTAGATTAGGAGAAAATGCAGGGGCGACCTTCAAAGAAAAAAGCCATCCTAGAGGGGAAATATGCGGCCGGGGGCCACTGAGGAAGGAGACTTTGTCTTGGTGAAGGAAGGGAGGGGGCTGACGGGCAGCTGGCACGCCTGTTCGGTTCAAGGCATTCTTTAACAGCAGCTGGGGATCACCAACTCCAGCGGGCCAGCAGGGTGCCAGGTGCAAAATAAGGTTCGATGCGTGTTTGCTGAGTGAATGCACGCTCCAGGGCCCACAGCGCTCTCCTCTCCACGCTTCCTTCTCAGGGGTGAGTCTCCAGGAGACTGGAGACCAGATGAAAGCCCCAAGGACAGAGTGGAGGCGGTGTGGCTCTGTCACTCCCCAAAAAGAGGGCTGGGAGGAGGGAGCGGGAAGCTGGGGCCTTGACTGCTGAAATGGGGCAGCCAGAGGGGGACCCTCTCTCCAGTCAGACAGAGCCTGGCAGCTGAGCCCTGTCTCCCCTACCCCGCCTCTGTTTGAACAAGCTCCCAGCCTGCTGTTGCATGGAAACAGGCGCCTGCTCTTGTTCCAAAGTGACGTGGCTGCCCTCTTCAGCACTGTTTGTTTCAGCCTAAAGTCCTGTCACCAGCCTGACTTCTGACTCGCCCTGTTTATCTCTCTCTCTCCTTTGTCAACTCATTACTCCCAAAGGCCAAGACTGCATTTCCAGGGCTTGTTTATCCAGAGCAGAGGGGCAGGGACTAACAGACCAACCGACAGACGGACCAAGAGGAGCCACGGAGGCACGAGGAGGAGGGACCCGGGCACTGCCCGAAGACCCGCTCACACCCTCTGCCTCTGGAGTGGCCACTCAGAGCCAGGGGCCACTGCTGCTTTTGTTGGTTTGTTTCAAGAGCGCTTTTAGATTGGGAGTGGAGTGCTCTCATTCACTCACCAGCAGTGGTTAATTTAGCACCTACTAGGCGCCAGGCCTTGCTGCCTCCATTTCCCTCAGGGGACTGTGAGTGTGGTGGGAGCTGAGCCCTGCACTAGGAACCGGGAGACCTGAGATCTAGCCTTTCCCGTGTCACCTGGACAAGTCAGTGCTACCTCTGGCTGCCCCCTCATTGTGATATGGGAATAATAACACCCATCTCCCCAGGATGGTGAAGCAATGAAAGACCCAAAGCACCAAACAGAGGCAAGGTGTTTGTTTGTCCTCAAAGGACTTCCTGGTGGGGGTCGAGGAGGAGGGGGCACTCGCTGGGCCACGGCCCTCTTTCCTACATTCACTCTACCCCACAAACAGTCAGAGACACTTGTTGAGGGGGGACCAGAAAGTGTTACCCTCAAGCTCCCCGCAAAGCCTCGCTCATATATTGGAGGGAGAAGGACAGCCCACAGACTGTTTCCTTTTAATTGAAAATTTTGTAATTTTAATTTTGCAGGGTTCTTTTCATAGTTTGGAGCCAAGAAAACCTTTTTTAAGTCTCAAATATTTTCCTTGGCCCCAGGCACTACGCCCATAGTGAGCCCAAATGGATAAAACAGCCCTCCCTCCGCCCGCCTCCAAATCTCCACCCCAGTTTATTTGTGAAACAGATATAGGATTTTCCAGGACTTTGGGATATTCACCAAAACAAACAGGGATAACTGGAACGTGGAATATAGATGGTAGAACGTGGCCTGAGCGCAACGCAGAACAGAGAAACCTGATCGGTACAGACAGTTCTGTCCCTCCCCACCCCACACCTCTCCCCACTTATCCTGATATCTGTGTTCAGTCTTCTCTTTAAATAATTTTTTTAAAGAAACTTTCCAGTTTCAGTATTCCTCCCAGCCCTCCCCCGACATTCAAAATTTTTCACAGTTCTGTCTGCATAGAGGTGCAGGAGGGGAAGAGTTTTCACCCATACAAAATGGGTGGCCTTAGAGATTTCTGGTGGGGTGTGCTCTGTTATTATTTTGATGAAGGGCAGGGTTCTGCCCTTTGACCTTCTGTCCCCCGCAGGTGGTACAGATTCTGTGGGTCTCTTCCCCAGAGAACCTGTTTAGGAGGGCTTGGGAGATACCAGCAAACTCCCAAAGACCATCTCCCTGGAGAAAGGAGACAGGCCCTTACTGCTCAAGTTTCCACTGTTTGCAAGAGGAAGGAATTTTTTAAAGTCCTCAATTCTGTTCACATCCGTACTGACCAGGGATTTTACACCCAAACTGCATCTGATCCTAACAACCCCGGTACTTTAGGTGCCAAGAGGTAAGGGAAGCCCAGGACTGGCCAAGGTTGACAGCTGGGAAGGGGCAGGCTGGGGCTTAACCTGGGTTTGTTCAGTTCCTGCATCAGTGCTGGCTGACCAGCTCAGCGCAGAGCGCGGGGCCGGGCTTCTGACGGTGCTGCTTCCAGTCTGACCTCTAGCTTCAAGAAGTGTGGTGGTAAAGGGCCCCTTAGGGGCTATGGAGTCAGAGAAGGAGCCCCAGGGCAAACCTGGGAGAGAGCATGAGGGCGATGTGGGTACACACATCTGTGTGCACGAGGCGGGGGTTGGGTACGGGCAGGGAGGAACATGCAGTACCCGAATTTTCCACATTCCCAGCAGAGCCCCCAAGGGGCAATGCCACCAGCAGTGATTCGAGGAGCAAAGTCAAATAAGAGGAGCATCCCAAGGCCAGGGCTGGCTGGGCCGGTTCTCCTGAACTTGTCAAGCACGATTCTCCCTTTTTCCCCGGGGTGGGGCCAGGACCTGGGGCCCCTGCTCTGTCATGAGCCAGCTAGGCTTCCCCGCCCCCTAAGGCCTCTGGATCCTCAGAGAGGCTGGTCTTGGACTCCTGAACTCTGCAGTTTAGGGTGGGAATGATGAAGGGGAAGAGGGCGGGGGACGCAGACAGGGCTGCCAGTCTGAGCACTGAAAATGGAGGCCTGCCTCTGCCTACTGCTCTGGACCTTTTCCCAGCTGCCTTGACCCTTGGTGCCTGGAAGTTTAATCTCACAGCTAGCCTGCATCAGGGGCCCAGGCAGAGGTGGAGGTGGGGAACATTTTATAATACAAATAAAATGAAGATACCACTGTGCACAGCCCCTCTCCCCCAAAGAACACACACCTAGAGCAGGGTCTCCCTACCCCAACCCTGTTTGTTAACTTAGCAGGGGTGCGGGAGGAGAGCCCAGGCGCCCACCCACCCAAGACGCACACCCTCAAGCCTGCTGCCCAGGCGTCTGTCTGCCCTTGTGGGCATTTCTGAGGCTGTTCTAAGGTCCATGATCTCAAGGTGCCCAGCCCCACTTCTCTTTCTGGGAGGGCTGCTCTCCCCCTGCCTTAGTGACCACTCGAATGGGAGCGCACACAGGGGGTCCCTGCAGGCTGGACCTTCTCAAGAATGTTAAAGTGAGGCTGTGTGGCAGGGAGCGGTGGCCCCCAGGTGGCCAGGGTGTAGTGGGAAGAGGCCTGGCGCCCCTCTCCCCTCTCCTGGGTTGCTGGGGAGAGGCACCAGCTCCTACCTGTTGCTGCTGGAAGTGGAGCAGCTCCGCAGGGCTCATCTCGCCGTTGCTGTCTGGGCCCGCGGCCGCATCCCTGCCTGCGCTGCCTCCGGCGGGGGCCCCGCCACCACTGCCGCCGCCGCCGCCATCCGCCTGCCCGGAGAGGCTGCCCACGCCGTTCTGACCAGACGGAGCCGACCTGATTGTCTCCGAGGCGGATTCCACCATCATGTCGCTCTAGCGGGACCTGGAGGGGGAGGAGAGACACGGGGGAGGGGCTGAGGCTGGACAGGCAGGGCGGGTTCCACCCGGGGAAGCAGGCGGTGTCCCTCAACACCCCATCCCCAAACGACACAACCCCCACCAAGTCCTGGGGCGGCTTCTCCCTCTCAGCTTCCTGGAGGCTGATCCTGGGACCCCTGTTGCGGTGCAGACCCTCCCTCCTAAGGTCACCCTCCGCCCCAGGCAAGGGCAGCTCCAGACTGAATTGGAGGCCGCCCGTTGCCCCCCCTCCCCCACATTTCCTCGAGGAGGCGCTACCCCCCCCACCCCCCCCCCCCCCCCCCCCGCGCCCCCCCCCCCCCCCCCCGGCTTGTGGGGGGGGGGGGGGGGGGGGGGGGGGGGGGGGGTGTCCTGCAAGGACCTGAAAGCAGGTGAGCTAGTCCCCAGAACCACCATATTGCCCCCCTCCCCGACCCGCCCCCACCCACACGCACCTGTGATGGCCTTTGTGTTTGTTCTCCCCCTAGATGGGGAGTTCCCCCCCTAGATGGGGAGTTCCCCAAGAGCAGGGCCTCCTTCCCGCACGCCCCCCCCCCTCAACACACACAGCAAAAGCCGCTGCCATTTTCCCAGCAAATGTTGGGTGCCAGACCCTCTGCTGGGCCTGGAGCTGTGCAACGAAGGCAGCTGGTGGTCCGACTTCTCTGACCTTCCATTCTAAGCCCTTCAGACCAGCACCTGGCCCAAAGCAGACACTCAATATTTACTGTCTCTACAGGCAGCAAGAGCCCTTCTCACAAGAATTGTGGGAGAATAGTTTTTTGGGGGTTTTAAAAAATGTATTTATTTATCTTTGGCTGCGTTGGGTCTCCGCTGCTGCGCGCGGGCTTTCTCCAGTTGCGGTGAGTGGGGGCTACTCTTCGTTGCGGTGCGCGGGCTTCTCATTGCAGCGGCTTCTCTTGCTGCGGAGCACGGGCTCTAGGTGTGCGGGCTTCAGTAGTTGTGGCACGTGGGCTCAGTAGTTGTGGTGCACGGGCTTAGTTGCTCCACAGCGTGTGGGATCTTCCTGGACCAGGGCTCAAACCTGTGTCTCCTGCATTGGCAGGTGGATTCTTAACCACTGCGCCACCAGGGAAGTCCCGGGAGATAGTTATTATCATCTTGATTTTACAGATGGGAAACTGAGGGTCCAGACGGTCAGAGGATTCACCCAAGGCAGAGTCAAGGCCTGAATCCCGTATCTTCCCCCATCTCCCCCAACTGCCTCTCAAGAGTCGCTGAAACACGCTCAGAAAGAGAGAGGGTATGACTGGGATGGCTATGGTTAGCGAGGAGGAGGCCTGGGTTTCCTTCTACAACTCACGGAGGCTGTACTATCTCAGGGGCTCGTACACAGACTATGAAGCAGATGGGGGACTTCAGTATGCAGAGCTGTTCTCAAAGTCTGGGGTCTCCAGCTATCGTCAGATTCACAGCCCCCTGAGAGGAACAAAAGTTTCAGCCAAACAGGACACAGTTGGTATTCCCCACTGATCTTTGACATAAGTCTTAAACTCCCTAAACCTCAGTTTCTTTGTTTGTATAAGTAATTACGCCAAGCCTCTCAGATCCTGTGAGGAGTAAATAAAATAGCACATGCAAACCACCTGGCAGAGTAAGCGCCAATAATGATGTGTCCCTTCTTCACCTGCCCTATTTGTAAGGGTGAACACCCTGGGCTCAGAGAGGTCAAAGACTTGGCCCAGATCACACAGCGATCGGGCTGGAAGCCAGCCAGCGTTCTTTCCTCCCTTCTTGATTACCTTTCGGCCTTGGCAGACCCCACAACCACACGGTGTCCCTGACCCAATAAACAGGTGCAGGAGGGCCTTAATAGAGAAACTGCTGGAAGGATTATTTCCCGAGTTCCTTCTCCGAGGTGGTAGCTCCCCAATTCTCTTTCACTCTGGAGGAACTCTTTCTCCTCACTCTATTGGGCCACTTGCTGTTTTTGTCCCCGCTGTCAGCAGAGTGGGGAAGATAGTAAGAGTATCTAGGTGTGCCTGGGGGGTTGGGGGGACAGAGCACTGTGAAAGGCCCGTGGGGAGGCCACTAGTTCACGTGTGTGCCATATCACCCTGCTCTTGTGACTCTAGGTGTCTGTCCCAGTGGACCTGTGTGGCCTCCTGGGTGACCCTGTGCTGCTGGAGTGTCCCACGTTTGTGCATTTCTCTGTGTTCCCAAGGGCTTGTTGCTCCCCCACCCGCCAGCTGCTGCTCCCAATCCTGGGTTCTGCGAGGAGCTGGGCTAGGGGCAAGGGCAAGGTTGGGGGCAACGGTTCAGAAGAGACTGAGCACTTGGTCTCCGGCCTTAATGGTAGTGTCAGCCCCAGGGCCAGTAGCTACCAAATGATGGATGGGGTGGGCACCGTCCTCCATCCGCCAGAGCACAGGACTCCAGCCCCTCCCCACAACCGCCCACCCGGATCCCTCCCAGCAGCCCACAGAGCACCTTCCCTCACTCAGGTCTGGGCCCCAGCTACACGAGGGGGATGGGGAGACAGCAGGGGCCGCTCTGCTCTCCCTCTGCCTGACCCTGGCCCTGCTGGGGGTGGAGAGCAGCTGCCTGCCCCGATTCCAAGTCTACTTCCCTGAGATCTGAAAGCTCCTGGGCCCCAGGGGACAAAGACCAGAGCCTCGGGGGTGTGTGTGCACAGGAGAAAGGAGAGAGAATCCAGCAGTTTCTTCTTGGGGTAAGGGAGAGTGCCCCCCTTCCAACATTCACACACACCATAAAGTTGCTCAGACAGCAAGTTTGGAAAAGGGAGAAAAAAAGGAAGGAGGATGCAAACAGAGGTGCCCTTTTCTTTTCTTTTTATTGGGGGGGGCGACAGAGCGACACCCAGTGAACAAAGTAATTGCTGCAATGTGGCTGTAATAACAGCTATTCAAGGGCCGATCATTCATATTAAACAGGGTGAAGCCAGCCTCTCATCTGCATGCTTGAGATTATATCCATTTGAAAAGTCATTTCCGCAGGCTGTACGAACGGCATTAATTCCCACGTGGCGCGCTGCTCTACCCCCTCCCGGGGCCTTCACCTCCTTCCAGGCTCGCGCCTGCCTGTCCACCAATACCAATCCAAACCTGCAAGTGGGTGCTCCCAGGACTCTCCTCACCTCTGTCCTGAGACACCTGTCCTCCTGAGGAGAAGCACAGCGGCAGCCTCAAGCCTCCTTGCCTGTCTCTGTGCAGGTGTCGCAACAGCACTGCGGTGCTCCCTGCACTGTGGGTGAGCAGGCTCTGGGTGCCTGGCGCCCGGCCAGGTAGGGATGGGGTGGGGTGGAGTGGGGTACTGGAGGCAGGCCTTGATATCCGTGCCCTGCACCCACCACAAGGGTGTGGGCTGGAGCGGGGGAAAGGCAGAGTCCATGGGAGCCTGGACTCTGGCTAGAGAAGGCAGGGGACTGGGTGTCAGGGGGCCTGAGCTCAGTCACAACCAGCTGTGACTTCTCTGTCCTCCTCCTTCTCTGGGCCTCCATTTCCCCATCCCTACATGGAGAGCTGGTCTTGAAGGTCTCTTCTGACTTGAAAGCTCGAGGAGGAAAAATCCCTAGTCAGTATGTACACAAGAAGCCACCATGTTCTAGCGGCTGGTGAGAGCCACGGAGGCTCCACTTGAATCACAGCTGTCCCGTTCCCAAAGGGAAATGTATGCCTCAAATTTCCCAATGGGGACCAGGGTTGCCTGCTCTGGTACCGAGGGGGACCCTCCAAGAGCCCCCTCCTCCATTCACTCCCACCCATTCGCCTCTCTCCACACACTCCTATCCTGCCAATCCGCGCTCCCACCCCAGGTACCCATTTCCTCAGCAAAGAGCTGCTGACTACCTGCAGAAGTGGAGAGGCGCTCTGGGAATGAGACCATCAGGTTTCAAGGGCCAGCTGTGTGACCTTGGGCAAGTCACTGGGCTCATACCAACAAGTAAGGAGAGGAAATTAGAAGGCCTTTCTAGGATTTGCTAAAATTGAGGCCCACCCCTGCCTTCCCTGCACCCTCTCCTACGCTGCGCTGGGGGCAGAGGCCGAGTCATTTCCTGTGCTCTAGGGTTTTTTGTCTGGGGCGCTGGTCCTGTCCTTGGGTAGGTCCTGGTCTTCCGTCTCTCAGGGTTCCCTTGGGGAGCCAGGGCACCTCGGAGCCTTTGGCCAGTACCCCGACGCTCCCGCAGACGACGCCGTCGAAAGGAAGGAAGGAAGGAAGGGAGGGAGGGAGGGAGGAAGAAAGGAAGCAAGCAAGCAAGCAAGCAAGCAGGGTCAAAGCCACAGCCGCCTCTTCCGCTCCGGGGGAGTCTGCGGGCCGCCGGGGGGGAGGGTGTGTGTCGGGGGTCCCACTTCCCGAGGCTCCTGGCCCTTCGAAGAACGCGGGCTCGCAATGAGGGCCGCCTCAGAACGCGCCAGGGTCCGCCTCTGTCCCCTCCCTGGCCGGAAGTGACGAGTTCCACCTACCTTGGGGCCAAAGGGAGGACCCAAGGGCTAGGGTGCTTTCGGGGGAGGGGAAAAGGACGGGGGAGCCCCACACGCGTAGAAACTTTTTGTGCCTTTTCCGCGGGCCCATATGGTGTACGGAGTATTAATTACCGTAGCTTTTTAATTAACAATCGCTTAATCTGAGCCGTAACATTTGCCACGACACCCTACGCCTCGTTGCGAACCCGCGCCGCCCGCCCTGCCAACTCATCAATTAATTTTTATTGACGTTTTCTTCCCCAAACAGGCACAATACCAGGGTTTTCCAATTAACACCTCCGCGATCTCTAATTAGTGCAATTAACAGACTGATGGATGCCCGGAGTTTACCCGCGAGGGAGGGAGGAAGGGAAGGAGGGAAGGGGCGGGGCAGTCCCCAGCGCGCTCTCTCTCCCGGCGCGCGTCCCGCAGGGCGCACACGTGCATGCGCTCAGCCTGAGATGGGGCGCACCTCCAGCTCTTAGGGGAGCACAGAGGGTGGGGGCGTGACCACAGGTAACCTGTACCCATAGCAATGGTG